AGAAGCAAGATACTGAAAATCTGAAAATATTCCAAATTATAAACTTAAAAGACAAGTGAGAGAATAAAACCAGTGTATGGAATTGATGACAAGAATAAAGATGGACTGAATATGAAAAGGGAAGGGAAATGCTAAATATAACCATACGCTGTCTCATACTGGCTCCAACATGACAAAGCTGATTTCTGGGCATTCTTACCCCTCTCCACAGCCACACTGTGAAAGAAACACCATGACTGCTTGAAAATAGATTAAGATAGTCTTGGTAATACTGCGCAGGGTGGGAAAATGGGTTAAAAGAGGCTTTCAAAAGAAAACCTCTTGTTCTATGTGTTTAATTTTTACTTTGTGATTAGATAAAAGGGCAGATATCTAATCAATCAGTCAATCAGGAAATCAATCCTATTTACTAATTGATTATATAATTTTTTACAATATATTCACTAACTAAAGGAGTGCTCTGTCCTGTTGTGGGTTTCTAATAGACATCTTGTGAACTAGAAGCATTGCTGTCGGATGGAGAGAGACTGCAGATGGAAGGATATGCTGTAGTTTGCAAACAGATAATAGATCACTTATGTAACATGATCACCTTCACCAGGTCCAGGAAAAAAAAGGGAAAAGAGATTCAGATGAAAATCTGAAGAACATCCTTTTATCTCTGGAAGGAAGCAGGGAAAAGGGACTAACGTTAAGACACCAGCAAGAATGAAAAGACATGGCCTTCAATCTGAAATCAAAGGACGATGCCAGGTTTTGTGGGAATCGATTTCAGGGCAACAGCAAAAACTGCTACCATCGAAAACCAGCCTGAGCTGGAAGACTTCCATTCCCCGAATCATGTACAACTATTTAGCATCCGTTCTCCACTCCAGCCACACCCCAGCCCCAACTCCCCATTCCATGGTGATTCCTTGATACCTGTTCCCTGCCTCCTGTTTTACAGCTGTGAATCTGATGCCTTCTCAACTTTGCTCTCGGCATCTTGTATCCAGACCTGACAACAGATCCTTTACTGGCCCTGGAGCTCTGCCCATGGGTATGGCCCAAATCTTATGCTTGGTTCCTGCAAGTGCTCAATTCTGGGTGAGCTGTGTTCCAAAAAGGCAACAACATTCTGCCACAAGCAACACCTGGGCTCTGAAGACAGCCCCTGGTTCTTTCCAACTGCAAAGGCCACTCATGATGGTAGCAGGGAGCCCGGGCCTCGAACATGGCCTGCACGTTTTCCCAAAGCCCCCACCCTGGCTGGAGAATTAAATGACAAGAATTAACTAACCCTGACTCTAACCGAGGTACGTGCCTGGGGGAGAAGGTTGAGTTCTTACTGGAAATATCTGCAAGAAGCTCTCTCATTTCAGGCCAAAACCTGGGATAGGAGGCAGAAGGAGTTTGCCTATTTCTGTATTTTAGACATGCCCAATTTCCTTGGCTTATATGCAATCTCCTATTCCTGGATACCTCTGCTTAATCTCCTTTGTACTTCCTTCACTCGGCTTGGCCCTAGCCCTTTTTCATTCATTGCTATCAACTCTCTAGGAAATCTCCTCCAATTCACAGCTTCAGTGTGCTGAAACTTACAAATTTATACAGTATCCCCAATCTAGACTTCTTCTTGAAGACTTCCTCTTCCAGACCCCTGTCTATTTGATCTCTCCTTGGCTATCTCAAAAATTCCTCAACATGTTCAAAACTGAACTCCTCATTTCCCCCAAAGCCTGGGTGTCCTTTAGCATTCCCTACCTCAGTAAATGACAACAGCATCCATCCAGTTCCACAGCCAGGAACCTAGGACCCATCTAGACACTTCTGTCCCCCTCACCTCCCATATTTAGTCTATTACTGAGTCCTTAAGAACTTTTGAATCTACTTCCTTCCATCTTCACTGCTACTAATAAAGCCCAGAGACTTTGGTTAATGTATAAATAATAAAAGCTAATAATTATCAAAGGTTTATTCCATAGCAAGCAGGTACTCTTTTAAAACTTTATATAAATTATCTCTTCTGATCACCCTATATATTAGTTTCCTAAAATTGATGTAACAAATTACCACAAACTAAATAGCTTAAAATACAGGGAATTGATTCTCTCACAGTTTTGAAGTCTGGAAGTCTGAAATCAAGATATCAGCAAGGCCATGTTCCTTCCCAAGGCTCTGGGGGAGGATCCTTCCCTGCCTCTTCCAGCTTCTGGTGGCTCCAGGCATTTCTTGACTTGTGGCTGCATCGCTCCAGTCTCTACCTCCATCTTCACATGGGCTTCTCTGTGTGTGTGTGTGTGTGTGTGTCTTCTTGTCTTCTGTCTGTTTCAAATCTCCTTCTGCCTTTTTCTTATCAGGACCCTTGTCACTGGATTTGGAGCCCACCCAGATAATCCAGGATGATCACCTCATCTCAAGATCCTTAATCACATCTGCAAAGACCCCTTCTCTAAATAGGGTAACATTCACAGGTTCCAGGGATTAGGAATTGGCCTCTTTTTTGAGGCCAGCATTCAACACACTACACCCTAACAAGTAAGTTATTAATCCCACTGCATAGATGAGGCCATTGAGACTTAGAAAGTTTAAGGGACTTGCCCAAGGTCACACAGTTAATATGAACATGAGATTCACATTTGGTTTATGGCTTCTTTACTTCCAGAAAAACAATTTCAGACTTTTCTGAAAGGAATAACAGTTTCAAGAAATCTGTCACTGGGATGCCAAATATCGCTGTTTCAACTCATTCATTACTAGAATATTCTACATCACTAGTGTTATCTTCCAAAATTATAGATCAGATCCAGTGCCTGGCATGATGTCTGTCATATAGAAGGTGCTCAATAAATAACTGTCAATAAATTAATGAGATCAGCCTCACCTAAAGTCATCAAAAATTCCAATTGCTTAAAAAATGAGCCTCACACTCCTCAACAAAGCATGCAAGACCCTCCACCCTCCAAAGATTAAAAAAATAATCTTGGAATGAGGGTAGCCTTTCTAAGAATGTCCTGTAGTCATGCAAGAAGAGATTGATAAATTTGGCCACAAATTTATCTAAAAGTTCAGCATGGAAAAATTTCATAAACAAGATCAAAAACAATGGCCTGGAAAAATATTTATAACACATATGCCTCATTTCCTAAACACATAAATAGCTCCTGAGGAAGCAGGCACCTTCCTTTATTGTAGAAATGTAAACCGGTGAAGCTTCTTTGAAGGGAAGTTTAGAAATAAAAATAAAAACATAAATTCATCTCCTCTCTGACCCAGCATTTCCATCTCTAGGAATTTATTCTGTAGATCATCTCTCACTTGGGCACAAAGCTATTCACTGCTACACCCTTTACAATAAAAATTGATTGGAAATAACCCACCAATAGGAAATGGTTAAATCCATTATGCTATAACTATATCATGGGATACCACGATGCCCTTTTAAAATGAGGCATATCTATATACATTAGTATGGAAGAAGCTAACTCAAGGTGCAGAATAGTATGCATAAAATGCTACCATTTTGTAAACAACAAAAGGAGACATAAGTATATGCACTTATATGCTATGCATATATGTGAATATTTTTGGAAGGATAAACGAGAAACTTGTAACTGTATTTGCCTTTGAGAAAAGAACTGTGAGATTGAGTGTAGGGGTGGAAGGAAGATTTATTTTTCATTGTAAACTCCACTGTTTTGTTTGAATTTATTTTGCCATGTGCTTGCATTGCCCGTTAAAGAGAGAGAAAGAATCTATAAGCTAGTTTTCATCTAATTTTCCAACTTGAACTCATGCTGTATCTTATTTTGCACCTGACAATTCATTGCTTCTCAAGCACACTGAGTATGTGCATATTGAGTGTGTGTGTGTGTCTAATGTTCTATCATCCTCGACTCTCACACTTTCTGCCTGTATAAATCCTGCCCTTCAAAAGCTGTGCAATCTCCCTGATCTCCAGGGTTTGAACCAACCACTCTTCCCTCTGCACTCAGAAAACCCCTGTCCATCCTGCTTTGAATTATAATTATGTTTACAAGTTGGTCATCCTCATTAAATTAGCTCCTAGAGGGAAGTGTGTATCTTGTTGGCCCCAAACTACCTGGAACACAGTTTGCTGAATGTATAACATTAACTGAAAAATACTAAGCACAAGAGTCATCTAGGAAAACCTAAATTTCCTATGATGACCCAATTTTAAGGGTGATAGAGAAAAACATCTAGCCTAAATACAGGAATCCTACTTAGTATGACTATCGAAAAAAGCAAATAAGAGCTCCTCAAAGCCGAAAATAAAGCCAATACTGTATACCAAATAGGACTATTACAAGAGATGTGAAATGAAATAGGAAGTTACACTTGAAATATATTAGAGGTAAGAGAAGAATGAAAGAAAAATGATTTCAGTTATAATACAGAAAAAATAGCTCTTGATATTTTTTTGATTGTTTTTTAGCCAAACACAGCAGGCCAGGTCATAAAATAGGCAAACACTGATTTTTATCATGAAGCAGCTAGTTCTCAGACTGGGACTAACAATGCCCTCCACCTCTGCTGCCCTCTCCCCTCCTCGCCCCTCCGACTAAAGGTCCATAGCAATGCAATTCACTCTACTGCTTAATAACCACAATCTTTTCTAAGCAAATTTTCTCAAATCATATTATAAGTTTAGTGTAAATTTTTTTTTTTTTTTACTATTTACTTTTCATTGCCATTTAAACCCATTTCCTCTTGTCCCTGGTGATATGGGAGTGTAGAGGGTCACACTACTCCATATATTTAACTTTCATATATCCTAAAGCACTTCATGGTAATTGACTATATACTACCTTCTATAAATAATAAAATCAACTTTTTTATGCTTCTAGAATATTGCTATTTTGCTTTAGTTTCTATAAATAGGTACACGGACATCCCACCTCATTTCTGTTGGCCTTATAACAAGATACAATACAATAAAATAAATATAATAAAACAAAAATTTTAAAAATGGCAACAATTAAAAGTTTACTTCAACTTACTGTTAATGCTGTTTCATACTCTCCAGCAGCCAAGTGTGCTAGGCCCAAGTAATAGTAAGCTTCTCTTTCCATCTTCTTGTCATTTCCTGAAGTGAAAATGTAGAAAAATTACTATGGCATTAAAGAAATTGATTTATTACAATGAACAGAATCTTTTGCTTTTTAAGAAAGTTATTATAACAAAGTATACAGATTTATCAACAATCCCTGAAACCTAACTGTGTACTGATAAAAAAGACTGATGTTAATACAGTTTACCTGGATCACAGATGTTAGAGTAAGGTACATTAGCAGTATAAATATGAAGATTTTCCCTCTACATACACAGCCCAGTATTATTATCTTAACATTCATATATAATTTCTGTACTGGTCCACCATGTAAAGACCTATAGTCATCCAGCATAGCTGCTACTACATACACGGAATATTTGTAAAAGGTATTAACCTTACATGGTGCACAAACACACATTCACAAACAGACTGACATTCAGCTAAGTCTCTAATAGGGAAGATAATTAGCAAATTAAGAAATTATTGTTTTGATTAGGTTCAATTTAAAGTTATTGGTTAAAACTTAGGTGAGAATGACTGACAGAGCTTGGTTCCTTGGTACAAAATTCCAGGCATATTTTGAAATCCAAACATATTTTTCTATGCTAATGAATGGTAATGCTTTTCATCATCTTTTCACAAGGAATTTAATTTCTAATTTCTGTGTAATGTGTTTTATTCCAGGAATTATCAAATTCTTCTTTCCAAAAGCAAAATGTGTATACCTGTAACATGTGGTTCAACAAGACATACATCATATCATCTAATAAATCCATGATTTATTTACCTTTAATATGCTAAACATAACATATAAATCTAATATACTTACAAGAACCATTAAAGGTTCTTATTTTTAGAAAGAATACTATCCTATTCCTACTTTTGGAATTCTTTGACTTTCAATGTTACCTAACTCCTGGGTAATGCAAATGCTGACAGATCCATCCTCATTTTTGATCTTTGGAAAGTAAATATCCTTAGGTTTCTGAACTCTGCATTTCAACCATGATGGATCTCAGCAGGAGCTCCCAATTCTCTCTGCTGCATTCACTGTCACCACTCACTCACTGAATTACCACTCGTGAAGCAGTGGCTCAATTGGAAGACTGCAAGAGAACAGAATGCCAAATGCCAGTGACAGTATTTTTTTTCTTCTCTAGCAATTTCACCAATTGCAGAGAATTATATTCTCAAGATCTCACTTCAGCAGAGTTGATGGTGCAAGGGATCCAGGTCGGGGAATTTTAACTCTTATAACTCAGCTGGGCCCTAACTTTTTCTCTGCTATAGGTTTTGAGGGCTGGGGTATGGGTGGGACTAGAGAAGGGAAAGATGGGGTAGAAGGAAGAGGCTATGAAGGAAAGTTGCCTCTTGGATAATTAAAAGTTGGTTATACGTGATTTGTACTTGATTGTTAAATCATGTTACTGTGTTAAAACACTAACAATGGCGTGTGCTGACTCATCATTTGCATCTAATTTTATGTAAAGGGCATCCCAGCAAAGAGGAGGAGAGAAAGAAAAATCTATCCTTGTTGATAGAAAGATCTTAAGGCAGCCAACTGACTGAGTCAGATCACACCAAATATTAGTTTTAAAATAGGATGTAAGCATGAGAACTTTTCCTGCTTACTATTTGAGACAAAGTGAAGATAAAATGAAAGCAACAAAATAGTGGAGGAAAATGTCAGCACTATTAAAGTTGACCTACACATATACTTAAGAAAAAAAGGGCAAAATGCTATTTATAGTCTGTAGTTTACTTGAGTAGGTTAAAGTAATATTAGCTTTGCTACCCAAATCAATAATCACTTATCTTAAAGAAAATACTATGTTTTTATTTTCAAGACCTAAATTATCCATTCTTATACTAGTATGTCCACCAGAGAATCTAAAGAGGGGGTCATCACAGGTGGCAGGGATGATAGAGACAACTTACTTGGGAGTAACTCACATGTTTCATTAAAATGTGCCCTAAAACTTTGACTTGTTATTTGGCTCACATATATACATTCACTCATTTATTCAAAGAATATTTATTGAGGACCTGTTCTGTGCCAGGCACAGCTCTAAGCACTTGGAATACATCAGTAAATTAACCAGACAAATTCCCTGTCCCTGGGGAGCTTACATTTTAGAGGACAGACACAGGAAGAGACACAAAATAAACAATAAACACAATAAATTATGTGGTAATTATGTGGATAGTGATAAGTACTCTGGGGAAAAAATAGAGCAGGGTGAGCACAATTGGGAGTGCTGAGTGGGGTTACAGAGTGGAATAAAGACTAGAGTGGAAATAAATGAAACAGAGAATAGAAAAACAATAGAGAAAATCAACAAAGCCAAAAGTTGTTTCATTGAAAAGGTCAACAAAATTGACAAACCTTTAGCTAGACTGAACAAGAAAAAAAAAGAGAGAACTCTCAAATTACTAAAATCAGGAATGAAAGCAGGGAAATCACTACAGACCATACAGAAATAAAAAGGATTATAAAGGAATGTTATGTACAGTTGTACATATTAGATGAAACGGACAGATCGCTAGAAAGACATAAACTTACTAAAATTAACTCAAGAAATAGAAAATCCGAATAGATCCACAATAAGTAAAGAAATTGAATTAGTAGTCAAAATATTTTCCACAAAGAAAAGCCCAGGCCCAGAGGTCTACACTGGTGAATTCTATCAAATATTTAAAGAATAATCAACACCAATTCTTCACAAACTCTTCCAAAAATCAGGAGAAAACACTTGCCAAAGAATTCTATGAGGCTAGTATTATTCTGACATCAAACCAGACAAAGACATCACAAGAAAAGAAAACTAAAAACCAATATCCCTTACTAATATAGACATTTAAAAAACCAACAAAACATTAGCAAAGCAAATCCAGTAGCACAAAGAAAAGATTATAGACCATGATCAAGTGGGATTTATCCCTGGAATTGCAACGTTGGTTCAACATATGCAACTAAATCAATGTAATATACCATATTAAGAGAGAGGACAAAAACCACATGATCATCTCAACAGACATATAAAAAGCATTTAACAAAATCCAATCCCTTTTCATGATAAAAATCCTCAAAAAAACTCGAAATAGAAGGGAACTTAATCTGTTAAAGAGTATCTACAAAAAACCCACAGCTAATGTTATACTTATGGTGAAAGACTAAAGCTTTCACCCTAAGATCAGGAAGAAGACAAAGGTGTACCCGGCACCAATTCTGTTTAACACTGTACTGCAGGTTCTAGCCAGTGCAAATCGGTGAGAAAAAGAAAAGGCACTGTAGGGGAGGCAAACTTTTACCTCTATCTTAGGTTTTTTCAGCTGGGCTTGAGAATTAAATTGACGTAAAACAGATTAGCAGGAGAAAAGCACACAAATTTACATAACTTATAGGTGACACCAAGCTTTCATAAGGAATGAAGAGCCAAAGAAATTGCAAAACCAACATGCTTTAATATTGGGTTGAACAAAGAGAGACAGTGGCAAAAAAGTAACTAAACAATGCAGGGAGGTTAAAGGAAGATAAAGAATATTTTAACAAGGTCTGTTTGTACAGAATTTTCTTAGCTTTGACTCCCCATCAAAGAATCTTTCTTTTCTCGTGGTACAGGGAGGGCATCTTTCACATGGCAGTTTTTATCTCCTGTTTTCAGGAATAAAAAGGGAGATTAGAATGCCCTTCTTGCATCTGTTGTTTTTCAAGTGCCTTTGCTCAAAATACCCCTTACGCCAAAGTGGTTTTTGGAACGGCATCTTCTGTCACCCTTCAGCATCAAGATCAGAAACGAAGAAGTAAAACTATATTTGCAGATGACATGATATTATATATAGAAAATCCTAAAGATTCTGAAAAATCCATGAAAGCTAATAAATAAGTTTAGCAAGGTTGAAAGACACAAGGCCAATATACAAAAGTCAATTTTATTTCTACACACAAGCAATGAACAATCTGAAAATGAAAGAAAAAATTCCAATAGCATCAAAAAGAATAAAATATTATAAATAAATTTAACGAAAGAAGGGCAAAATGTGTACACTGACAACTACAAAACAACACTGAAAGAAATTATATAATATGAAACAGATAATCCATATTCATGGATTGGAAGATTTAGTGTTAAGATAGCAATTTTAACCCAATTGTTTGACAGATTCAATGCAATCCCTATGAAAATCCCAGGTGTCTTTTTTGCATAAATGGACAAATTTATCCTAAAATTCATGTGGAAATGAAAGCAATGCAGAATAGCCAAAGCAATCTTGAAAAAGAACAAGACTGAAGGGACACTCCACCAAGAAGACTTATCACTTATAAATATATACACACCCAACATAGGAGCACCAAAGTACATAAAGCAACTATTAACAAACCTAAAAGGAGACATTAACAACACCACAATAATAGTAGGGGATCTTAATACCCCACTTACATCAACGGATAGATCATCCAGACAAAAAGTCAATAAAGAAACAGTGGACTTAAATGAAAAACTGGACGAGATGGACCTAATAGACATA